CGCCCGACCTGAGGCCAGCGGACGCGAGGCGAGGCGGGCTTCGCCTCCGGAGCTCGGCTGCCCTGACGACGCCCGTGCTGAAAAACGCAGCACGTGCCGGGTTCGAGACGTCCGCGCTGCAGCTCGAGCCCACACCAAGAGCCACCCTGCCTGCCTCGTGGTCAGAGCCCCGAATCATCAGGGGTATCTCGGGTCAGGGCTAACTCGGGTTCGTTTTTCGGGATTCCGAACCCGAGTTACCCCGGACCCGACTTACCCCGGATAATTCGGGCGTCCAGAGCCCCGAATCATCAGGGGTATCTCGGGTCAGGGCTAACTCGGGTTGGTTTTTCGGGAATCCAAGCCCGAGTTACCCCGGACCCGACTTACCCCAGATAATTCGGGCGCCCAATCTGGGGTGCCCTGGGTTTCGTCCTGGGTTTCGGTGGTTGCACTCCGGGGAACGTGACGTTCCCATGTCCCAGATCCGTGGGTACTCCAGATTTCGTAATCAAAGGGAGGGGGTCTGGACCCTCCAAGACAAGCCATTTCAGACCTCCCCCGTGGGAGAACCCTCCAAGACATCGTCCCCATACCCCCCAGGCCCTCCAAGATAGCCTGGACGAGACCCCCCCCGAAATGAGACCCCCCTCCCTGTATTACGAAATCTGGAGTATCCTTTGGGGTCTCAGGGTTGGGCTTCTTGTGTAAGGCTTCTTGCGGCCGAGCTCCCACTGCAGCACGCTGCGTGTTGCCTCGGCACGCGTTGGCACGCGTCTTGGCGGACGCATCGCGCCAGAATTATGTCGTCAGTCTACGTGCTGAGCTCTCGGCGTCAGCACGTTAACGGGCTGCGTGTTGCGTATCGGGGCGGCTGCGCGCCCGAGATTATTCCGGCCCCTGGAACCGTCGAACACGTCCCGGGAGGAAAGCCGGTCCTCGGGAATATCTCTAGGCTGGAGAGCATTGCCAAACGGCACATCTGTGCCGAGTAGCTGTAGACGTGCTTATTCAGCGCGCCTCTATGAATGTGTTGTGGTCTCTCTCTCTCTCTCTTTCTCTTTCTCTCTCTCTCTCTCTCTCTCTTTACCAGTTTGAAACATATCTCTGTCTCCATGTTTGGCATCACCTTACCTCGATACCGGTCTCAAGGATTGTCGCAGTTTCTGGGAGCACATCCCTAAGATCGTCATCGCTTTTGGCTTGCCCATCTTAGGGATAGGGATACGTTCGAGTTTGGTTTTCTCTCTCTCTCTGTCTCTTTCCTCTCCTCTTCGCCCTTCGAAGCTGCGTCGATTCTGCCCCCAGGTGCCCCAGCCGTGTCGGTTTCGCCGGGCCCGTCCTGCACCTGCCTTGCTCCCTGCGGTTGGGCATCTTTCGAGTAGGAGATCGATCCCTCTAAAGGAGGAGTAGCCAGAAATAGTGCAGGGTTTCACAGGTTTCGAGCTGAGATTATGGTTGCCGAAACCGTTTGGCTCAAGAAAAGGAATCCAGGGGCTCCGCCATTCCGCATGGTAGCGGAGCCTGGTCGAATGCCCACGGCAAGGCTCCCAGTTTATCGTTTCTCGCGAAGAGATGGCAACAGCAGGGGAGGTTCTGAATAGGATCGTGGCCATGGAGGGCGTCGTAGTTCAGCGGAGAGATCAGATAGCGAGGTTGGAACAACAACTTCGAGATGCGAATCAACGAGCAGCAGCAGCAGCAGAAGGACTAGCAGACGACCGACCATATCAACCGAGAGCGGAGTCACTAGTCGACACGAAGCTGCTCGGACAGCCAGATAAGTTCTCGGGTGAGCTCGATGAGAATGCGAAGTACAAGGGCGGCGTCACGTGGGAGAACTGAAGTTTCGTCCTAGCGGCCTACTGCATGGCGGTGGATCCTCATATGGCGGAGTTGATGAGGGATGCTGCGAAGGTCGACGTTGAGGCTTTCGCACGCGAGGATCTAGACGAAGAGGCCCAGCGAGTCAACACCAACCTGTACTATATCCTTGTACTGACGTGTGAGGACAAGGCTCAGGGCATCGTGAAGAGCGTTCCCTCAGGAGAAGGCCTAGAGGCCTGGCGACTACTGTGTCTGGAGTTCGAGCCGAAGGTGCCGTCGAGGTTCTCAGGTATGTTAGACTCGATACTGTATCCGAATGTGCAGGAGAACGATCCGATCAAAGGCATCGTATCGTGGGAGACGTTGGTTCAGAGATATGAAGAGCAGACAGGAGAGAAGGTCATGGAGTCGATCAAGAAGTCTGTTCTCAGTACGCGGTTAGTGCCGTCAAAGCTTCGAGAACATATCATGCTGAATGCTACGAGGTTCACGACATACGCGTTGGTACGAGCTGAGGTGTTGAACTACTTGAGGTCGAAGCAGGCGGCGATGGCACTAAGTGGACCTGCGCCTATGGATCTGGATGCGCTCACATTCGCCAAGTTCGGCAAGGACTCGAAAGGCAGGCGCGGCAAAGACAAGAACAAGGGCAAGGGCTACGACCAGAGTGCGATGCAGCCTTGCAAGTATTGCGGCAAGACAGGTCACAAGCTCATGGAGTGCAGGAAGGCCACACAGGACATGAAGGACGGACAGATTACGAAGGGTGAATTGCGAAAGATCAGCAAGGGCAAGGGCAAGGGTAAGGACAAGAGCGACAAGACGAAGAGCACACCTGCGCCCGACAAGCCCAAGGATCAAGGCATGAAGTACTTAGGGTACGATTACGACGCCGAGGAGGGCGACATCTTCATGCTGAAGGAGCACGAGACTGAGGAGCTAGATCACATTTCGAGTGTAGACCACACGGAGGTAGACGGATACACTGTGAATCTAGAGAGCAAGACGGAGCCCAATCACAATTTCATCGAGAATGACGAGAGCTACCTGATTCCAATAGAGTTCGAGAATGACAACGACGGTAAGATCGAGGTGATGGTCGATTCATGTGCGGCACGGAGTGTTTGCCCACCTGGTTTCGCACCAAGAATACCACGAGAAGAAGCGGACGCACCACCACTACGACAGGCAGATGGTACTAAGATGTACTCGAACGGCTGCAAGACGGTACAAATGCAGGTGGCTGGGACTCGACAACCAATTCGAGGGCAGTTCGATGCGCGAGACGTTCGCAAGACGATCGTTGCGGTTAGCGACCTGACGAAGGGAGCTCAAGGCGCATGGTTCGACGACGGCGGTGGAGCAGTGGTCAATCCGAAGATCAGCCAGCGGATCAAGGAGATAATCGAGTACGAACACGTGAACAATCAGAGGAACAGACCACTGAGGATCTCGAAGAGGCGTGGGGTCTACAGCTTCGACGTGGACGCGAGCACGCTATGCCCCCTAGAGAGTGATGAACCTGAACAAGCTCAGCAGCCGGCGGAGCAGGAGGAAGAGATCGAGACAGACGAGGCGCGACTGCCGAAGGTCAAGAAGGAGAGGTACAAGCCCACAGCGGAGGAGATAGCCATCCACGAGAAGACTCACATGCCGTTTCGGGACTGGTGCAAGTGGTGGTTTTGGGGCCGAGGCAAGGAAGATGGTCACAAGAAGGCCGGCCCAGAGGAGGCGCCGACGATCCCAGTCATTAGCATGGACTACTGCTTCGTGAACACCGGGCAGGAGACGGAGATGGTCAACATCCTGGTGATGGTGCAGAAGCCTGAGGATGCAGTTGCTTCCATCATGGTTATCCACAAGGGACCCAGCGAGTACGTCAACTCAGCGGTGGAGTTCTACTTGGACGTTTGGGGAGCAGTGGGTATCATCCTGAAGGGCGACCAGGAGCCATCACTACAAGCGGTGATCACGGCGGTGAAGAACAGGAGGAAGCACAGCACGCAGGTGGAGAAGGCTCCCAAAGGTTCTCATCAGAGCAACGGTGCGATTGAGAATGCGGTGGAGAGAGTGGAGTCGTTACTACGTACACTACACAGCGAGCTGGAAGTGAAGTTGGGTGTGAAGATCGGACCCAAGAGTTTGATCATGCCGTGGTTTGTTAGGCACGTGGGGTACTTGCTCACCAGGTTCGCTATCATGACGGATGGCAGGACAGCTTGGGAACGATTGGGACGTGCGGAGTTCAAGTCAGAGCTCGGGAAGATCGGAGAGACGATCGACTACAGGATGCAGGCTAAGGACTACTCCAAGCTGGAACCTAGGCGGGGCGAAGGTATCTTCTTGGGCAGGCGCGACGAGAGCGACGAGATCATCGCAGGTACGTCGAGTGGCATCGAGCACGCCAGGACGACGAAGGTCAGGGCCACGGAGGACAAGCACAACAAGGAGGTCTACAACACGTTCATAGGAGTGCCGTGGAATCCCAGGGGCTTGGAGGTGAAGGATCAGAATGAGGTGGTCAGGAGACGGAAGTACATCGCGAAGGCGCTGATCGAGGAGTATGGACCTACAGATGGGTGTGCAGCATGCGAAGGGAACTCATCAATGCACAACGCGAGGTGCAGGACGAGGTTCGCCAGGATCTTCGAGGAGGCTGAGCCGAGGATCGAGATGGCATCAGGAGATCATCCAGGACAAGCGCAACCTGCAGCAGCACCAGCGGCAGTTCCAGCAGCACAGACACCACCAGAAAATGCTAGAGTAGCAGAACCACGACTTGTAGAAGCAGGTCAGCGAGCTCCAGGTACACCGGTTGGTCATCACTTCGGACAGGAGCTACAGATCGAGCAGGACGCGGAGATGACGGGTAGCGCGATCGTAGCAGGAGGAGATGTGGCACCTACTACGCCAGGACGGGAAGAGGCGATGGAGATAGGCATCATCATGTCGATCACGAAGGAGGAGGACCGCCACGTCTGCGAGGAGTTGGGGCCGAGGGTGAACTACGACAAGCTGGTGGGTGACGGAGTCTACAGAGACGCGTGCACAGGCGAGGAAATGTTGAAGGAGCTGGTCAACAACGGCAGGACGAAGGAGATGAAAAGCATGGAGGAGTTTGAGGTCTTTGAGTGGGTACCGGCACCTGTGCCGCTGGGTGCCTTTGTGGCGTCCCAGGAAAACAGGCGGGTTGGCAGCCCGATCGTCTCCACAGCTCGACGGGGCTGTGGGGGAGACTCTTGCCCTGTGGTTGGCCAGCCACAGTAGGCGCGGGCCCGCCGTGCCACCCCTGAGAGGCCCGATGGGGTTACTCGAAGGGGTCCCCCGACGCGGGGGGCGCGGGAACTTAAGTCCTGGGGCAGCGGGGCCTCCGCTGCTTGAGGCCGGCGGCCAAGTGGGGGTGGTGCCGGCGGCCGTGTCTCGGGGTGGCATCTCGAGGCACCTCGCAACGGCGGCGCGGATAACGCCGGGGGCGGTCCGTGCCGCCGTTCGCGTTGCGAGGTCCGACTGCACGTGAATTCATGCAGGCACCTTGGGCACCTCCCTTCGGGTTGCGTCGCCCAGGTGTTCTGTCCGGGCACAAAAAAATCTTTGAGTGGGTGCCACTTGAGGACTGGATGAAGCCGTTCGACACCAAGTGGATCGACAGCAAGAAGTACGACTTACAGAACAACGGGTGGATCATGAGGAGCCGATGTGTTCACAGAAGGTATAGCGACGGGACCGACCCCTCGAATTTCGCAGGGACACCCGCACTATGGGCAGTTAAGTTGGTGATTTCGAGAGCAGCTTCAACGAGGACGACCGAGTCGTGGAGGAAGAAGCTTGGTCTATATGACATCTCAGTGGCGTTCTTTCACGCGTCGCTGAAGGAGCCCAAGTACTGCTGGCCACCATCTGAACAGCGACGACCAGGGATGCTCTGGAAGTTGCAGAAGGCGATGTATGCGACGCCAGAGGCGTCGATGTTATTTCAAGGAGAAGTTCGAGATAATTTCAGACAGAACGGGTACGAGGAGTTGAAGACGGTGTGCTGCCTGTACTACCATCCTGGCAAGGACTCGCCCTGTGCTGGACACGGAGATGATTTTGTGGTGGGGGCGTACGACGAAGAGCTGGATGAGTTCGATAAGCTCATGGCCAATAGGTTCAAGGTCAAGCCTCAACCGAGAGTGGGACCAGGAGGAGCAGCTGAAGGTACGTTTCTCAACAGGACGGTGCTCTGGGGCGAGGAGGGCTTCGGCATTCTACCAGACCCGAAGCTGATCTTGAAGATGGTGGAGTTGTACGAGCTGAAGGAGGCCAAGCCCGCAGAGACACCGAGTTCGAAGCGCACTGCCAAGGGAGTTCGAGAAGCTGAAGACCCAGTAGGACGACAGAGCTCTATGTTGTACAGGAGTTGCGGTGGCATCGCACAGTATATGGCTGGGGATCGCTGGGATATTCAGGAAGCAGTTCGAGAGCAGAGTTGTTCGTGCAATGACCCGCGGGCGAGGCACATGCTCAAGCAGAAGCGTGTGGTCAGGTGTCTGAAGGGCGCGGCCGACGTCGTGATATTCTACCCGTACCAGCAGGAGACGTTCAAAGTGACGGCGTCGGTGGACGCGGACTGGGCAGGACAGGGGGCGACATGCAAGAGTGTTTCATCAGGTGGAGTTCGATTAGGAGCCCATCTATTGGAGAGCTGGGTACTATCTCAGGCGACGGTGGCGCTTTTAAGTGGGAAGTCGGAGTTCTACGGGATGGGTTCGGGCACAGCCCGAGGTCTCACCATCGAGCACGCGTTGCAGGAGATGGCGCAGATGAGGAGCGAGGAGGTCAAGATCACTCTGGAGTTGGAGACGGACCCAGCAGCGGCGAAGGGCATGATCCACAGACATGGAGTCGGACGAGTACGACATCTACAGACGAGGTGGACCAGGCATCAAGATCTGGTACGAGACGGAGACATGGAGGTGGTGCAGGTCAATACGAAGGACCAAGTGGCAGACATAGGAACGAAACCGATGGACAAGGACACGCTCAGGAGACACATGGAGACGCTGGGTTTGATCTCAATCAAAGCGGCGAGTTTCAAAGACCCAGAAGTGCTCGCGAAGGTTTTGGCGGTGATGACGGCCATGTCGGGCGCAGAGGCGACACGCGATTACTACTGCGAGGATGGTTTCAGAACCAATGTGAACATGAAGAGCGAGTTTCACTGGTGGGGTTTCGTTACAAACTTGGTGGTTGCGATTGTGGCAGTGGTTTTCAGTTACTACGTGTTCGTGGTGAAGGCGAAGCAGGACAGGGTTGTGGGTCAATCTTTAGAGACACAAGGTGACTCTGGGTTGTGGTCCACGCCATTTCGACATGTACGAGCCGAAGAGGACCCGAGGTGTAACCTTCAGGACCCGAGGTCAGGGTCAGATGAACGATCACCGTTGAGGCGACGCAGGAGAGATGCTTCGCCCGAGACAGAGGTGCAGTTCAAGAAGATGAGGTCAGTTGAAGTCCAAGGGCCAGTGACCTACAAAAGCAGGAGCAAGCTGCATTATGAGGCTGACGGTCGGTATACGCCGTTGGGCACTCGAGAGTGGGGAGCTTGGTTTCAGTGAGTGCACGCGCCCTGGACAACCAGTACGAGATACCGTTTGGGTTGAGCTATGCTGGCGTGTTCAGAAGATATGCGACGGAGATTGATCACCTCCCGAGGTCGCAACGCGCGCGAGAGAGAGAGAGAGAGAGAGAGAACGATATAGAGGCCGATATCACGTGGATGAAGGTTTCCTTTGCCATGGCTGTTTCTTTACATGAGTCGGAACCGAACGGGGTTCGGCTAGCACTGTTAATTACTGATGTAATTTGAGATGGTGGGCTGACGAGCCCGCCAGCGTGCACAGCGGCCTCGAGGAGGGCTGCAGGGTTTCACAGGCTTCGAGCTGAGATTATGGTTGCCGAAACCGTTTGGCTCAAGAAGAGGAATCCAGGGGTTCCGCCATTCCGCAAATAGTCAAAACAATAGTCGGCCGACCTAAGGTGTGATTTACCCGATTTGCCCGTCGGTTCTACGAACCGCAGGTGCCCGTCGGTCGTTGGAAGTAGGTGACTCTGGATTCCCAGATCTCAATCTCTACTTCAAGCGCATTCCGGCTTCAAGAATCGATATGCTGTTGTTGTGGTTTGTTGGGTCTTTGGGAGGGCCTGAACCCTTTCAACTTGGTCCGCCTTCCTACTTCGTGTTTTTACCTACTTCTTTCCGACCGACTTGCCGAACGCCAGTCGATCTGCCAATGTTTGTTGCGTATCTGTCGTAGATTCGGCGATTTTTTTTGATCGGCGGCCGCGCGACGACGGTCTGGCGGCGAGAGGCAATGTCCGGGGCGGGCGGCACAAAGCTAATTGCACACAGAGCGTGCAGTTGCACATGCACTGAGCAAAATGCTCAGCATTCAGCAGCAGACGCACCTAGGCGCCGCCCAGTAAACCAAAGTGTGCAAGCGGCCACGGGTGCGAGTGCAACGGAGTGAGTCGCCCTTGCGGCGCCAAGCTCCGAGCAGCCGACCCGGCTAGCAACGATGCACGAGCCCGGGTAGCAGGCTGCTGGCGGTGGAAAACAAGGGGCCGAAGGCGCGGAAGGCTGAACCACTCAGCGCGCAGTCCTCGAACTCCACCGCAGAGTTGGGGGGGCCGGCGGCACCCCTCGCATCGAGTCCGGCGCCTGCGGGGAAGGCCCGGGGATGGTGCGACGATGCGTATAGATTCGGCGATGCGCACAGGTCCGGGGTACACCTATTCTGTAGTCGATGTCCTACCCGAGCCGTGCCGGCTCCGCCGGAACCGTCCTGCGCCTGCCCCGCTGTCCGAGGTGGGCCTCGTCCTCTCTCCAGCAGAGCGCCTCCTCGCGGGCAGCTCGCGGCGTCGGGGGCAGCCTCGCGCGGGCCGGACCACAGTCGGCGGCGAGCCTTGGGGGGAAGTTACTCCAGATTTCGTACTAAAAGGGAGGGGGTCTGGACCCTCCAAGACAAGCCATTTCAGACCGCCCCCGTGGGAAAACCCTCCAAAACATCGTCCCCAGACCCCCTCAGGCCCTCCAAGATAGCCTGGAAGAGACCCCCCCCGAAATGAGACCCCCCTCCCTTTATTACTTCTCAGAAGGCTCCGAAGTCCCCCGGCCCTCCGAGAAGTTTTCGAAGCCTTCCCCGAGTGCCCAGAAAACTTGTCAGAAGACCCTGAGAAGTGTTCCCGTCTTCTGAGAAGGCCTTCGCCTTCTCACTCCCCCCCCCCGCCGCCGGCACAGTTGTCGGCATGTCAGGGCCCCTGCTGATGCCAGCCCTGGGCCCTGGGCCCTGCAGCGTACAGCCAGGACGCTAACAAAAAAAACGCCTTGGGGTTCAGAAGGATCTCGCTGTTCCTTAGGTCATGCCGTGGTTGTTCTGTAGCCCTCGTGCACAGGGGCAGCCCCGGCACTTCTGGTGCCAAATGCAGGCGTTGATATCTCTTTCGCAGCGGAAGGCGGCGGAAGGCTGGCGGAAGGCGGTGGAAATCAAACGAGGCCGCCTCCGCCAGCCAGCGGAAGCCGGCGGAAGTAAAACACGCGTCCCCCAGAGATGGCAGGGGATATTCCCATGCGGCAGGTACGGGTCGTTAGAATGTAAGAAAAGACCTACCGACCAGCTCACCCTGCACACCGCGGCCGCCAGATCCCCAGGTCCACCGAGAATCCCTGAGACTCCTGCCCCTTCCGACCCGACTCGCCCATTCTGCATACCGCGGCCGCCAGATCCCCAGGTCCACCGAGTATCCCCGAGATTCTCGCCCCTGTGAGCATGACGAAACATAACTGTCAGCACATAACATAACATGGCATACCAATCCATACCATTGTGTGTTGCTTGATGATAACATCACAGAGCAGAGCATACCATAACAAAACATATTATAACATGACAGCGCCGGTTGTGGCATATTGGTTCACACATAACGCAGCGTACCGTCACATCGCACGTTGTCTCTGAGCAGGTTTTGCTATCATGTAACACATTGCATCATGGCGGAACGCGACATAGCATCTTGCATTATAACATGACAGATCGCACCATATCAGATTCGACCACATCGCTGCATGCCATAACATAACATACCATACCACAGCATCTGTTATACCGTGACGTCGCGAATCGTTCCATAGCAGAACGGGGCATACTACAGTGTAGCACTACATGTTCTTACAAACCAGACCAGAACTCTTCGTAGTATTGCTGCCACGGCGGCAGCGATTGCAATTCGACATCACCTACTGCTACACATCGAAATGGACACGCGTTCCATGCTAGATCATAACAGACTTTAAGGAGCATGGCACAGCGAAGTCAACATGACATATCATACATGTTGTACTACTGCTACTGCTAAACAGCGATTCGATTCTGATATCACATCACAGTAGACTGATCATACCGTTTCATGGTGACCATCAGAGTGAGGGGGGCGAGCGGTCATTTATTGTCCTTTGGTGCGCGAATTAAGTGCGGATCCGTGGTGAGGATTCTGCTTGTCGCGTTGTTGTTGCTATCGTTGTTGTTGTTGTTGTTGGAAAAGGCGCGCGTGACAGACGCGTGAGCTCTAGCCGTCCGGACCCGCCCTCGCCTTATTGCGAAGGCTGCGCTCAGAGCCCCGTGTACGCATTCTGGCCCCTCCCCCCCCCCAGCAACAGCAACAGCAACCAGCACCCCCCCCCAAAAACAAATCCAGGAACTCCTTCGGACTCCCTGGCGGACCTTGACGTGGTCCTGTGGGTGAAAAACGCATGCGCGCCGGCGTGCTGCCGCTTCAATACAGATCCGATACAGACTGTATGGGATCCTGTAGAGACCCGATACAGACTGTGTGGGATCCTATACAGATCCGATACAGACTGCATGGGATCCTGTAGAGATCCGATAACAGACTGTATGGGATCCTATACAGATCCGATACAGACTGTATGGAACCTGTAGAGATCCGATACAGACTGTATAGGATCCTATACAGATCCGCGACAGACTGTATGGAATCCTGTAGAGATCCGATACAAACTGTATGGGATCCTGACTGTATAGGATCTTATACAGATCCGATACAGATTGTATGGGATCCTGTAGAGACCCGATACAGACTGTATGGGATCCTACACAGATCCGATACATAATGTATGGGATTTTGTGGAGATCCGATACAGACTGTTTGGGATCCTGTAGAGATCCGATACAGACTGTATGGGATTCTATACAGATCCGATACTGCCTGTATGGGATTCTCTTCAGACCGGATACTGACTGTATGGGATCTTGTAAATATCTGATACAGGCTGTATGGAATCTTGTAGAGATCCGATACTGATTGCATGGAATCTTGTAGAGATCCGATACAGACTGTATAGGGTCCTATACAGATCCGATACAGACTGTATGGGATCCCATACAGATCCGATACAGACTGTATGGGGTCCTATAGAGATCTTGTACAGACTGTATCTGATCTCGTACAGATCCGATACGAAATGTATGGGATCCTAAACAGGTCCTATACAGACTGTGTGGGATCCTATACAAATCCGATGAGGACTGTATGGGGTCTTTTACGGATCCGATACAGACTGTATAGGATCCTACACAGATCCGATACAGACTGTATAGGATCATACACATATCCGATACAGACTGTATGGGATCCTTACACATATCCGATGCAGACTGTATGGGGTCCAATTGAAATCCGTTACAGACTGTATAGGATCCTATACAGATCCGATACAGACTTTATGGGATCCTGTAGAGATCCGATACTGACTGTATGGAATCTTGTAGAGATCCGATTCTGACTATATGGTATCCTGTAGAGATCCAGTGCCGACTGTATGGGATCCTGTAGAGATTCGATACAGACTGTATGGGATCCTGTACAGATCCGATACACACTGTATGGGATCCTATAGCGGTCCGATGCAGACTGTATGATATCCTACACAGATCCGATACAGACTGTATGGGATTCTGTAGAGATCCGATACCGAGCGTATGGGATCCTATACCTGTCCGATACTGAGTGTATGGGATCCGATACAGATCCGATACTGACTGTATGGAATCTTGTGGAGATCCGATACAGACTGTGTGGGATCCTGTAGAGGTCCGATACAGACTGTATGGGAGCCTGTAGAGATTCGATACAGACTGTATGGGATCCTATACAGATCCGAGACAGACTGTATGGGATCCTGCAGAGATCCGATACAGACTGTATGGGATCCTATACAGATCCGATACAGACTGTATGGAGGCCTATGGAATTCGTATGGGTGCATATAGAATTCCTATGGAAGCCGATAGAACTCCTATGGAAGCCTATGGCATTCGTATGGAGGCCAATAGAATTCATATGGGGAGCTATATAGAATCCCCATGGGTGCCTATAGAATTCCTATGGAGGCCTATGAAATTCCGATGGAAACCTATAGGATTCCTACGGAGGCCTATCGAATGTCTATGGGGGGCTATAGAATTCCTACGGAGGCCTATACAATTCCTATGGAGGCCTATACAATTCATATGGAGGCCGATACAATTCCGATTGGGGCTTATATAGAATTCTTATGGAGGCCTATAGAATTCATATGGAGACCCATCGAATTCCGATGGAGGCCTATAAAATTCTGATGGGGGCCTGTAGAAATC